ATTTTGGTCGAGCAGCTTCTCAAAGTGTTCTATTACCAAAGGATTCAATACTTCACAACGGATGAGGAACCGGAAAGACAGCTCAGCGAAACGATCTGTCAGTGGGAGAACACCCGCGAGTACTTCTAGGCTCATCGTATGCGTCGAGTGCATACAGCCAAGCGCGATTCGGAGGCAACGGTATTGAACTCGTTGCAGCTTCAAGATATGTGTTTTCGCCGCGGATTGAAAGCAGAAGCTACCGTACTCTAGAACCGACAAGATGGTTGTTCGATACAACCTGATCAGATCTTCCGGGTGTGCTCCCCACCAGGTTCCGGTAATTGTACGAAGAAAATTGATTCTTTGTTGGCATTTTTGTTTTAGATACGCAATATGTTTTCCCCATGTGCATTTGGAATCGAACCAGACACCTAAATACTTGAAAGATATACTTTGAGTGATTGTTCTACCCTTTAGTTGAAGCTGTAACTGTGCAGGATGATGCTTCCTAGAAAAAAACAACCAACTCAGTTTTCTCCGGAGAGAATTCGATACCCAGCTTCATAGCCCAAGTAGACAAATTGTCTAAGGTATCTTGCAATGGTCCTTGCAGGTCCGGTGCACTTGGCCCTATAACGGATACAATGCCGTCATCTGCAAGCTGCCTTAGCGAGCAATTTTCATCAAGACAACCATCAATGTCTTTTACATAAAAATTATAAAGAAGGGGGCTTAAACATGAACCCTGGGGGAGACCCATGTAACTAATTCGTGAAGTTGTCGAGTTTCCATGAGAAAAGCTCATATATTTCTCAGACAACAAGTTGCTCAAATAGTTGTTCATAATTGGTGAAAGCCCACTATCGTGGAGTTTATCCGAAAGGACATCGATACAAACAGAATCAAAAGCCCCCATAATGTCCAAGAAAACTGAACCCATTTGCTGTTTTTGCGCATAGGCCAGTTGAATTTCAGTTGAAAGCAACGCAAGACAGTCGCTCGTTCCTTTGCCTCTCCGAAATCCAAATTGCGTATCTGAAAGTAAACCATTCGACTCGACCCATTTGTCTAGACGAAAAAGAATCATTTTCTCCAACAATTTCCGTATACAGGACAGCATCGCGATGGGACGGTACGAGTTATAATCCGACGCGGGTTTACCGGGTTTTCGAATGGCGATAACTCTTACTTGTCTCCAGTCATCCGGAACAATGTTGTGCTCCAGAAATTGATTGAATAAGTTCAACAAGCGTCTTTTCGCGACATCTGGGAGATTTTTAAGCAAGTTGAACTTGATTCTATCCATTCCTGGAGCTGAATTGTTACATGAAAGGAGAGCAAGTGAGAATTCCACCATCGAAAACGGGGAATCTATTTCGTTATTACCCGACGGACTATCATGAACGTTGGTTTGAACCGACACCGAATCCGGGCAAACTTTCTGCGCGAAGCTGAATATCCAACTGTCTGAGTACTCCTTGTCTTCGTTGACCGGTGATGACGCGTTTCGCATTCTCCTGCCGACATTCCAGAGTGTTCTCATGGAAGTCTCTCTCGACAAACCATCGACGAACCGACGCCAGTAACCGCGTTTTTTGGCTTTAATCAAGCCCTTAAAAGTTTTCTCGAGGTCGGTGTACCGCTCGAAATCCTCGACCTTACCGTGTTTGCGGAAGCGTTTAAACGCGGCGGACTTCTCGCTGTTCGCGTCGGTGCAATCCTTATCCCACCACGGAGTGAGAGGTCGTTTGCGAATGAAAACACCCGGAACGTGTTTTGTCTGTGCTTGAAGAGCACAGTCAACGATAAGTCGCGATAAAAAAACTGGAGTTATATTTGCAAACAATATTGTCATGACTTTAAAATTTAGTAATGGATTTTAAAGCATTAAATATTTGAAATTGGAATGCTCGATCTCTTAAAGATAATGAAGACGAGCTATTTAACTATTTAAGAGTTCATAACGTGCATATTGCCGTTTTAACTGATACGTTCCGTAAACCTGACCATAAGGTTAAGAAGGACGCAATTTTTTTTTCATTTATAGAAATGATCGTCTTGATGGACCATGTGGTGGTGTTCCCATCATTGTTCATAGACGAATCAAACATAAAATTGTTTCTTCATTTGAAACCAAAGCTTTTGAAACTTTGGGAGTTTCTGTTGAAACAAAATTTGGACAACTTACGTTTATAGCTGCCTATTTGCCATTCCAATGCGTAGGCCAGCAAAAGAATTTTCTCAAGGGTGACCTCCAGAAACTTACCCGTCTTAAGGTCTAAATTCTTTATTATTAATGCAAAACACGCTCATGGAATAATGCTCAAAGCAATTCCAATGGTAATATTCTGTTTGATGATTGTTCTGCAGGTTATTACACTATTCAATATCCAAACAGCCCAACATGCTTTTCTTCAGCAAGAAAACCCTCAACTATTGATTTGGTCTTAACTGATTCATGTCAACTTTGTAGCCAACTGGTTACCCATGCTGACTTCGGTTCTGATCACCTTCCAGTAACTTTTGAAATATCCCAAGAAATAATTTCTAATCCCAACAGCTCTACTTTCAATTACCATAGAGCTGATTGGGAGCAATATCGAACATTTATGGAATATAACTTCGATCCAAACATTCCTTTGCAAACCAAAGATGAAATTAATTATGCTCTTGAATCTCTGACTACTTCTATAGTTGAAGCAAGAGCTGCCTTAGTACCAAAATGCGAGGTTAAATTCGATTCAATTATAATAGACGACTTCAGCTCTTGATCCGTCTTAAAAATGTCCGTAGGAGACAATATCAAAGAACACGCGATCCTGCCATGAAATTTATCGGGCCCTGAGGAACAAAAATTTTTGAAAATAATGTTTCCAAATTAGACCCGAGTTCCAAACCCTCTTGGAAACTCACAAAAATTTTGAGAAAACCTCAAAAGCCTATTCCAAAAATTATATTGATTTCGTTTTCCTGTAATTTTTCACAAACATTCTGTGAAAAATTACAGCTGTGTGCAACGCATATCCAGTTGCTTTTCCACCAACGTCTATTGCTGGTGGCTTTCCTGCAACGTAGTCCGTCAAATGTGACTGGATTGAACATTAACGCTGACGGAGACGTTAAGGCAGCATTGTAACTATCGCTTAAGACTACCTTCAACCGAGTGGATTTTAAGGATTTGGAAAATGCATTTTGGATTTTTTTTTATGTTGGCATTAAAATACAACTAATAAGCATTAGCCAATCGTATTGAGTTTGAGCTGGTAATTGTTTACAATCGTTGAAATGCTGCAAATCACGATGTTTGTAGTGCACTTAAACTTCCGGGATATACCCGTTAGCTGAATAGTGGTGCAAAACTATGCCATTCGATATATTTACTGAGTTGAAGTAGCCATTCACGGAGAATAGTAATACACTTCGAATAAATACTAATACTTCAAGCGTCTAAGTCACCGTTGATTATCAACAAGGTTATAACGTCCCAATTGGAACCTTAGTTTGTTCTTTGAATTCTTTGCGCGCTGTGGATGTTAATTACGATTTTTAAAAGTATATTCACAGTGAAGTGAACACATGTTCCGGCTCAAACTTAAAATTCTTAACTAGAAACTAGGAATCGACCCCTCCACCTCCAGCATGATCTTAATCTTTAGTTGCTTCCTTACCACCTGATACGGAAAAGCATCTACTTGAAATAGTAATACCTTAAAATCAGTATTTGACCTATATCTTCGCACTTATTAGTAAACAATCATTGAAGATTGTGAAAATGCATTCATCATCTATTAACTTAATCAAATAGTACACTTGAAACTATGATTGTTCTCAATCTCCCACCCTTATTTGGTTAATTGCAATTACGTGGAGAACTTCAAGATTAATCTCCCATAATTGCATTCTTTTCCTTTTGAATCAAAACCCGATTATTTCTTAATTCTTTCAAATTCTTTTGAGACATCGTAAATTGATTCAACACGATTCGATGACAATCGATCGGTGTTACATCTGTGCGACGCATCAACAAATCAACTGGTCACGTTTTTTTTGCGTCGCTCTTCCATCACCAATTGCGGCGGACCAATTATGATGTCTACAAACCGATGCGATTGCTTTATTTTTTCTCTATCCTGCTGCTGCTGCTGATGCTGAAGAAATTCAATTAAAATTGTTCACTCTCCAGTGTCGTCGTTGTCGTCAGCGGATACCCGAGATGTGAACAGAATTTCCGAAGTTGTTGCAGTTGCAGTTGCAGTTGATTCTTCCCAGTATGGTCGAGCTATGCCACACACTGCACTGCACTCGGCTGGTTGGACTAGGCCGCAGCTGTCGTTGTTCGGCGTGTTTGTCACCAAATACGGTCAGTAACACACAGATAGGTGTATCTGCTGGCTGACGACTGCTGTTAGTTGCGACGACCACGTCCGCAATCGCTGCATTGCTCGTAAGATCACACGTGAAAACTTGGACCGGGTCCAAGCGGCGTACATCGCTGTCTCCAACATACCACCGTGCGAGTAGCAACTAATTGATGAATTAAATTGTTTGAATTGTGAAGAATAATTATCCATAACGGACAACATGTCCACTCCCATGGGTGCAGATGATGCGATGTGGCAAAGTGATTGATTTCTATTGTAAGCTGAGGCGTACCTACAGTTTTAGGGGTTGGGCGTTGTGTGGCTTCCTTGGATGGATGCTACTAGATGTTAATCTCCATGTGGTGTCACTGTCAGAATTGTTCGACGAGGTGATTGAGCTGCTATTGATGAGAACGTAATTATGTCAACAAGATTATCCATGTGATTGATGGAGCTGTTGGGGGGTGGGAAAATGGCCACATGACCGCTTAGTTAACTTAAATTTCACAATGAACCAAGTGAAAATTCATTGTTTTAGAATTTACATAAGACACTGAATACGATTTATAGATTAAGTGATACGTTCTACAACTTGCACTGCATGATTCCTGTTAACATATAGATAAGATTAACTAAATTTCCATTCTTCCGTTTTAGGCCCTCTGCGGTGTTATCTTCGAGGTGCCCACGATGACGGGGGAGAAGCTGCGCATCAGTACAAAGCAGGAAATCATCAAACCGAACACCGTCAAGCGGATCCAGGGCTATGGGTTGCCTTTTCCCAAGGAACCATCGCGCAAGGGTGACCTGCTAGTGGCATTTGACATCAAATTCCCCGACAAACTAGCACCGTCGGAGAAGGAACTACTGAACGATATGCTACCGAATTCCTAGTTCGGATAATGATTTAAAAAAAAATCCACATTTTCGTTCTGATTTCTGTTGTTCCCTCTTCGCTCCTCTCACACAAACACAATCGTACTCAATCAATCGATATTTTTAATCTGTATATTTTTACAACAGAACAATTTATGTTATTTATCCCGCGGCATCAAATAGAAGACGTAACATGCTACCACAGAGGTCTCTACCCCACTGCCTTTGTAAATACACATTAACAGAGCCCTACTTAATTTTTTGTTCACGCTCGGTACTGACCACTATTTGTTAATTTAAATCGCCACATGATTGTGCGGTCGCGTTTATTTCGCACTAAACCCCTCTTCCTTCCTATCAAAATCAGGGAAGACCCCTCCCCTCCACGCGATAATGAAACATGATATTACAATTCAATCCTAGCCTAAGCCAATATATCCTACCCTGTCCCATTCGAATAGGCTGCGCATTCCCAGCGGTGGCTGTTCTCTCTCTCTCCCTCTCTCGGAATAAATTACCAATTCATAACAAAGCTGATGATGATGATGATGATGATGATAATAATGATTATTATTATTTAATTTAAACTCGCGTTATCTGATTCTTGGAAATATATACTCTTCTATACAAACAATAATAATGCATGTACGGCCAAATTCAACAATCTCCTGTAGGTTGTTATGGTCCATGCGCTCTGGTACACCTTTTATCGCCTACATATCACATGGTCCCTTTCACTGCTCCTGACAGCAGTGCCACCGGAAACAACTGGCCCTACCGATGAAGGCTTTAATGTGCTTTTGATTATCCGTTGTTCGTGATTAAGTATTGAATATATAGAAGATAGATTCTTCTACGGTTTTGAATGAAAGATTTGCGAAAACTGCTAAGAAATTTGGAATCTTAAACCAAAGCTTCGCCTGCTCTCAACCTAGTGTTCAGGAAGCACTTTTACAGCTATTAATTAAGAGCTTTCTATGGCAACGAACGCATGAATTTGTATATTGTATGTTCTCCAGGGAAGTGGAGAATATTTCATACCAGAAAAATGCTGAAATCGAACCAACCGCCTTCGACTTGGAAACACCGTGTCATTACTGACTTTCCTGAGCCTCGCTATTAAAAGCAGACAGAGAATATTTTGTATTCAATGATTTGTTTTTGATAACCCATTTTGTTTGGTACAGTCTATTCAAAGTACAGCAGTGTTTCAGTCTCGGAACTAAAATTTTTTTTTTTAAGTTGAAGATCTTGATTTGCAGAACCGATAACTAACGATATGATACCTTATTTTGGTATGTTTGAGGTATAAAATTTTGTTTTACTCTATGTCAGTTATCGAAATATTTTGTAAAGCATCAAATAAATACCAAACTATCAAAACGTGATCTTTCATTTTTGAGACATTACCACCCAAAGGAGTTATTCCCAAATACCATTGCTAGTTTTATCGTGGTTTTAAAGCATTCTACAGGTCTAGATCATGCTCTACAGAACCCTCATAAAATCACAATTGTTACTTGGGTTCCCTTTCCTTGGCTAGTTTTTGCACTTTGCTGTTGGTGGACGAGCTTAATTCCATTTTTTAACTCTTTATTTGTTTCAAATTCAAAATAAATTACATTTAATTTTAAACTAGGTGCTCCAGTTACTACAGTAACTAACCAGCCTTAATTGTTATGATATATATCTAAGTGTTTTACATTGTTCCTGCCTTGGCAATTCAGTATTTTAAACAGGTTTTTTAAACCTGCATGTCAGTATAACAATTGAAATCTTAAAACTAAAAACTAGAACTAAATCTTATCTAAGTATAAAGGGAATTAATCGTTGCAATTGAGGATTTTGTTCTAAAGTCTCAACATTCGAAATTATATGTACTTCGGTAGTAATGTACCAGGGAGGCAACTTCAAAATCATCTTCAGAACTTTGTTCTGAATCCTTTGAAGTGCTTTTTTTCTGGTAGTGCAACAACTAGAACATATTGGCATAGCGTAAAGCATGGCCGGTCTAAAAACTTGTTTAAATATTAGAAGTTTATTCGTCAGGCAAAGTTTGGATTTCCTGTTTATAAGAGGATATAAACATTTTATATATTTGTTACATTTGGCTTGAATGCCCTCAATGTGATCTTTAAAAGTTAATTTTTGGTCAATTATTAATCCAAGATATTTCACTTGGTTTGACCAGGAAATTGGAACTCCGTTCATTGTGGCTATATGACTACTAGGTTTCAAAAATGAAAATTATCATAAATGAAATATTATAAGTTGAGTTTTGGAAGCGTTGGGAAAAATCTTTCATTTTTGTAAATAAGAAGAGAAAATATCTAAACTTTTCTGCAGTCTGCTGCAAATAACACGAAGACTTTTTCCTTTAGCGGAAATGCCTGTGTCATCAGCGAACAAAGATTTGTGGCAACCCTGAGACAAATCAGGGAGGTCCGAAGTGAAAATGTTACACAATATAGGCCCAAGAATGCTACCCTGAAGAACTCCAGCTCTTACAGGTATTCGATTAGATTCGGAATTTTGATAATTTACCTGCAGAGTTCTGTCAGTTAAATAATTTTTAACTAATTTCATAATATAAAGTGGAAAATTAAATTTTTCAATTTAGCAATCAAACCTTCATGCCAAACACTGTCGAATGCTTTTTCTTTGGCTAGAAGAGCAACTCCAGTTGAGTGGCCTTCAGATTTGTTTGAACGAATTAAATTGGTAACTCTTAAGAGTTGATGAGTAGTTGAATGCCCATGGCGAAATCCAAACTGCTCATTTGCAAAAATTGAGTTTGTATTGATGTGAAGCATCATTCTATTTAAAATTATCTTTTCAAAAAGTTTACTTATTAAAGAAAGCAAACTTATTGGACGGTAGCTAGAAGCTTCAGCTGGATTTTTATCTGGCTTCAAAATTGGAACAACTTTTGCAGTTTTCCATTTATCAGGAAAGTATGCCAAATGGAAACATCTGTTAAATAATTTTACCAAGAAAGACAAGGTACTCTCTGGGAGTTTTTTGATGAGGATATAGAAAATGCCATCATCACCTGGAGCTTTTATTTTATGAAACTTTCTAGTGATAGACCTTACTTCGTCCAAATCAGTCCGCCAGGAATCATCAAAAATATTTTCCCGATAGAAAATATTCAGATAATCCCGAGCAACCTGATTCTCAATAGGACTAGTAAGACCCAAACTGAAATAATGGGAACTCTCGAATTGCTTAGCAAGTTTCTGAGCTTTTTTTCCAAATTTGTGATCAAAATTTTACCACCTTCTTTAAGCGCTGCAACACTAGAAACAACAACACATGAAATTCGTTAAAAATACCAAAACCAGCGGACGACTCTATTAGTGATCCATCTGTGAAGAACGATCTTGCGGAATCAACTTGGCCAAACTTCGCAGCATAAATTGACGGAACAATCATGGAACGATGATGTTCTGGGATTCCACGAATCTCCCGCGTCATAGATAAATCAAAACTAACTGAATTGCCGAAGTCGGAGAAGCATACACGATGAGGATTATGCTGTGAAGGGCTGACATCCTGAGTTATGTACACGTAGTACAATGACATAAAACGAGTTTGAGGGTTTAGCTCAAGAAGCTTCTCAAAGTTTTCGATTACCAGTGGGTTCATAACTTCACAACGGGTGAGGAGCCTGAGGGACAATTCCAAAAACCGATCCGAGAGTGGCAACATGCCCGCCAGCACTTCGAGACTCATAGTATGAGTCGAGTGCATGCATCCTAACGCGATACGAAGACAACGATACTGGATCCGTTCCAGCTTGATGATGTGAGTTTTAGCTGCCGACTGAAAACAAAAACTACCATATTCTAGAACCGATAAAATCGTTGTCCGGTACAACGTCAGAAGATCTTGTGGATGGGCTCCCCACCACGTTCCGGTAATTGATCGAAGGAAATTGATCCTTGGTTGGCATTTTCGTCTCAGATACTCAATGTGGGATCTCCAGGTGCATTTGGAATCGAACCAGACCCCGAGATATTTAAAAGACATGGAATGAGTGATCGGTTTACCCAAAAGTTGAAGCTTCGGTTGTGCTGGGCTATGCTTCCTAGAAAAAACGACCAACTCAGTTTTCTCCGTGGAGAATTCGATACCCAGCTGAATAGCCCAAGTAGACAAATTGTCCAAGGTATCCTGTAAGGGTCCTTGCAGGTCAACCTCTTTTGGCCCTGTGATAGACACTACGCCGTCATCTGCAAGTTGTCTCAACGTGCAATTGTCATTAAGACAATTGTCAATTTCTCTAACGTAGAAATTGTACAAAAGGGGGCTTAAACATGAGCCTTGGGGGAGACCCATGTAGCTAAATCGAAAAGCTGTAGAGTTTCCATGAGAAAAGCTCATATGTTTTTCTGACAGCAAATTGTACAAAAAATTATTCATTAATGGAGACAATCCACAAGCGTGGAGTTTCTCTGAAAGAACTTCAACGGATACTGAATCAAAAGCCCCCTTGATATCCAAGAACACAGAAGCCATTTGCTCTTTCTTAGCAAAAGCTAACTGAATTTCCGAGGAAAGCAACGCGAGACAGTCGTTCGTTCCCTTGCCCCTACGGAAACCAAATTGAGTATCTGAAAGAAGGTGGTTCGTCTCAACCCATTTGTCGAGGCGAAAAAGGATCATTTTCTCCATCAATTTCCGAATACACGACAGCATCGCGATGGGCCGATACGAATTGTGATCCGACGCGGGTTTATCAGGCTTTTTAATGGCTATCACCCTCACTCGTCTCCAATCGTCGGGAACAATATTGAGCTCCAAGAACTGATTGTACAAGTTCAACATGCGCCTCTTAGCGACGTCTGGGAGGTTTTTCAGCAAGTTGAACTTGATTCTATCAGATCCCGGGGCAGAATTGCCACACGAAAGGAGAGCGAGTGAAAGTTCGACCATTGAAAAAGGCTGACTGATTTCGTCTACCGAATTCGCGGTTTCGCGAGGAGTCAACTGCGACGGCACGGAATCCGGACACACTTTTCGCGCGAATTTAAGAATCCATTGATCCGAGCATTCCTCGCTTTCGTTGTTAGTGGACCGGTTACGCATTCTTCGCGCCGTACTCCAAAGCGTATTCATAGACGTTTCGCGCGACAATCCGTCTACAAACTGCCGCCAGTAACCCCGTTTTTTGGCCTTGATGAGGCTCTTGAGTTCGCGTTCAAGAGATGTGTATGCGTCGAAATGCTCGCGTGTTCCGCGCTTCCGAAAAAGTTTAAACGCGTCGGACTTTTTACGGTAAACCTCCGTGCATTGTTGATCCCACCAGAGCGATGGTGTTTTCTTACGGATTGACGATCGCGGCACCGGTCGTGTTTGAGCTTGAAGTGCGCTGTCGACGATGAGATTGGAGAGGAAGTTATATTCCTCCAACGGTTGAAGCCCTTCTACCGACGTAAGGGCATCTTCTATCACATTCTTGAACTTTGTCCAATCGATATTACGGGTAAGATCGTACGCGACGTTAACGGATTCCGACGGATCGAACCCACTGGCAACTGAAACTTTGATCGGCAAGTGATCACTACCGTGGGGATCTTGGATCACATTCCACGTGCAATCCAACGATAATGAGTTAGAGCAAAGTGTGAGGTCTAA